CGGGCAGCCTTGTTCTGCGGGACTGCCCACCTGCTGGCTGCCTGTTGGAGCCCGGCAGTCCCAGGTCTTATCTAATGGACGCTCGGCAGCCGCTGCTCGCAGACGCCTCCCCCCGAAACACCTGGAGCAGCACAGTCCGTTATTATCGTTGCCTCCCGGGGTTCGCTGAATCAATTTCGCATCCATCAAACTGGATCTCGAACTCCATCAGCAACTTTTTGTGCTTGGATTGGAAAAAGTTGCAGCGGAATTTTTGTTCTGCTCGGTGCCCGTAACGCCCCCTCCTCATCTTACCCAGTGCCCACATTGTGCTGTGCTGGAATTAAAACACTTGAGGAAGGTTTCCCACCTATCTAAACTTGAGTCTTCTGCATTGCACTATCTGAGCCGTATTTAGTTTGAGTAAATTTATTTTGAGTCAGAACCCTTCCCTCTTATAAAGGAGCAACCAAACATGGAGTGGGGGGAGGGGGAGATAAAATATGGCAATCTCTAAAATTAATGCCAAAATTTTGAACTAAAAAAAAGAATATGCCAAACATTTTGGCAAGCCACGCGAACACGGCGTTTAGAGTAAAGAAAAAGCACAAACACCTTCCTTTAAAAGGCGTGCCGATAGTTATTGCAACCGACAGACTCGTCCAATATCGTTTAGGTTCGGTCTGCAAAGAGGGTTTGGGGAAAGGGAAAGGGGGCAGGGAGGGGCTGAGCGCCTCAAGAGCGAAGGAGAAACACTGACTTTGGGGGCGCGGCCGCTCTCAAGATCCCCATTGCCGGACTATTAGTAAAAGGAGAGAGAGAGAGAGAAGATGGAGTGGAAGGGTGGGAGGGCGGGGAGAGGGAAGGGAAGAGGAAAATTGAGGGAGGGGTGTAGAGCTGAGAGTCAAATTTGTTTGGTTAAAGCGGTGCGGAAGGGAGGGTTGCGACACTAGGTGCTCTAGCGGTGGGCGCCCCCCGGCGCCTCTAACAGGAAGAAAGCCGTGCACACGCTGGTACAGTTGCACAGGTTGAACACCAATAAGAGATGAAAACAAATTAAAGTGAACACATTTGAGCGAAGCGCAATAAGACCCGGAACACGGTGTGCCGAATTTGTATAGCGTCTTTTTTATGACCAGAGACGTCTGTCTGGCCATCTCAAGGTACTTCTCTCGGATTGAGGGAGGGAGAGAGAATCAGTGGGAGGAGGGAAGTGCGGAGGTGTTTTGGCCCAGCCGGGGCCGTGCGACAGCTGCGCTGCGCCGGACCTGGCGACGCGTACGGCTGTGTAATCTCTTTTGCGATCTCGGCCGGGACCGAGGCCGGGGCCAGCACGCCGTACGGGTCCGGGCTCCAGCCGTGGTCCTCATTGTTCATACTCCCCTTTGACGTGCACCCGGGGATCTGCTGGACTCTTCCCACTCTCCCACTCTTCTACACTGTAAGTGACGATTAGACAAGCGACTCGGCTTGCAATGAATTCATTTTATCTGTCGTTGCCGCAGACTAGGCAGCCCACTAGCCCTGAGGCCTCACTGATAGAGTGTGCAACTGGCGTGCGCGTGCAGTAAAGTTGAATACTTAAGAAGTGTGCAAGACTCTGTTGTTTGCCGTTAAGCTCTGGACACTAGAACAGGGGTATCAGAGAGCAGACGACGCGCGGGCCGCGTCGCTGAGACATCTGCACTAGAAATTGTTCAAATATACTGTTGAACACTTAGTACTCTAATTTCCCTTCAAACGTGTAAGAGTCTACCATAGAGTTGAGCACTACCATGTGCATGCAAGTTGCGCACTTTATTTATCAGAACTCCTGCGATCTTTGCCAAAACTCTGGGGAAATCACAAATCTTCTTCGTTGTCAAAGATTGATTAACTTCAGAGAGTATTACGATCGGTTCACAACTATTTCAAATTGTGGTGGAAAAATGCACTATTTTTATTTACTTTAAAGAAGTGTTGTGATTTCACAGTTGCTGCGTATCGAGAAAGTGTTGGGAAATCACAAGATATTCTTAACAGTGTGGGGCGGAGGGGGTCGGGGCGGTACGATGCCATTTATTGTCCCTATGGGCCATCTCCCTGCCTGGTGCGATGCGAATATAGAAGGAAAACATATCCCGCTGAGAGATCGGGACCGTGAGGCGGTGAGGTACAGTGGGAGGGAGGGGCGGTGGGGGTACAGAGTGGACTAGGGACAGGGATGAGGGGTGGTGGAAAGAAAGGGGTGGGGATGAGGTAAGATGAGGGCGGCGTACGGAGAAAAGGGCGGGAAAGGAAGGGGGCAGGGCAGCCGCCAGCTGGCCTACAGGATCTTGGAACGGTGGAATAAACCGTTCGGTGAGGCAACCCCTGGGACAGCGAAAAAGTATACACTAGGGAGTGTTTATTGGAGAGAGAGAATGATGGTGTTGATAGAAAGGTAGGAAGGGGGGAGGGAAGGTGAAAGAAGCGGGATTTGTAAGAGGGTCGGGAGTGGTGGACTGCACCTGGAAAAGTGGGTTCACGTTCGGAGGGAGGGAGAGGGAGGGAGGGGGAGGGGGGAGAGAGAGAGAGAGAGAGAGAGAGAGAGAGAGAGAGCGAAGAGGGGGAGGGACAGGGGTTTGTCCTGCGGGGTACAGTTCCATTACTCTTCTATTTCACCGAGCAGAGACGTGGATAGGACCTCGGCGGAGGCTTGGGCCGTGCTGTGGTAAGGCCCCCTCCCCCTCCTCTCCTTCTACTTCCTTCAGCCGTACGCCTGATCCTTGCTGGCACTACACGTCCCGATTCGGAAGGAAAAAATATAAATGTCGTCAAGGAAAGGAGAGCGCTAAGATTTATACTCTATGATGTCCGCTGGCCTGTCTCGCCAGTCCCTCCCTGCGTCGCGTCTCGGCCCGGCTCTCGGCAAGAGTGGGTGACTGATATGCATTTGCCAAGTGCGGATAGAAATAAACACAACGTTTTAACCCAAATTGGATGAAATCAAGATGAATATTGCTCCTTTCTCGGTCCTGAAAATCGTCATTTCGAAACAAATTGAAAAAAATCATTTCACGAAAATGTTTTTGCCTTCAAAATGACGTTTCCGGTGTTTAAAGGGGCAATTTTTTATCTTTCATTTTTTCTTAAGATTGGTCGCGAGAAGAGGCAGTTTCTCGGTGTAAGGTCTAATTGTGCCACACTAAATTCTTACGGACTTTTTTTGTTTATAGCTTACTGAAATCTGTAAACATGCCCAGCTTACGAATTTCATACTACAACAGTATGAACTTTTTTTCATTCTAGCGTATCAAAAAAAATGTAAGTTGAGGATGTAGATAGATTTCAGTAAGCTATGAACAAAATAGTTCATAAGATTTTAGCGGATTTTAGTATGTACAGATTCTTTTTTTAGGTAAAAAATCGCTTTACATTCGACTGCTAGGTATGAGGTCTCTCGTATACACACTAAAATCTCATGAACATTTTTACCCTTACCGAAATCTGTCAACATGCTCCGCTTACGCATTTTTTAAAACGCAAGTATGTACAAAATTTGTTGCCGTATTAAAAGGGCAGCAGAAGCTAACAGAACTCAGTAAGATATGAATAAAAATGTTCATTAGATTTTAGTGTGTACAAGAAGAACCAGGAGACTGGAAGTAAATAGCAAAAGAGCTAAGCCCTTGCTGTGCGCTTTTCCGCTGAAACGAAATCGACAAAGTGCATACAGCCGAGCAACCGCGGAACCCAGACCGACAGGAACTAAGGAAGGGTGCCCCGTTATATTCTGTAGCAAAGACTGCTTTTCAATCGTAAATAAGTAAACGCTCTGTATACTACACAAGGATATGCAAGTGGTCTCGCGATAACCTTTACAAACCTATGCGATAGCTATAATATCTTGCGATCGGAATACAATTTATCGAATGGTAATTGTTTATCCCCGCATAAATCCATGAAATGTGTCGCAATTCAAGGGATCCAAAGGGTCGGAAGGGCAAAAACAGAAAATGAGAAGTTTTTCGATTTCAACACACTGCACCCTCTGGTCGTGTCGAGACCTCAAATCCGACCTCTAAAGCGCAATCGGTCCGGCCTCTTTGACATTTCTGCGTCATGCCTATTACAGCTCACTGGGAGGAAAAAAGCAATATCCTTTCTGAATCCAAGGAGACCGAAGGCAGCCCTGTACGGGCTTCAGTTTGGTGTTTCGCCAGGGCCTTGCGCTCCACAGTTTACCTCTCCTTCCAGCCGTGCTTCGTGATTCCCTCCGCACTGGCGCAGCCCGCGGTGAGAGCTCAGCAGGTGCGGAGGAGGGTTCACGATGCTGCGCGAAGACGTGACCGGGTCGGGGCGCTGTGGTCACACAGGGTCGCAAACCTCTCCGACCCGTCGCCCCGGGTCACGCAAGGTCGGTGCGGGACGAGGTCGGGGAGACGAGGTCGGGCCCGCCGCAGCGCGGGACGTGCGCAGAGATTGGTGCTTCGCTTACCTGCCGTAATGGTTGTAGGGGTGTTGCTTGACGGTCCGAGCAGCCTCAACGCCGCTCGCGTGCCGAAACAGAGGGGGGAGAAAGAGAGAGAGGGAGAGAGAGAGGGAGAGAGAGAGAGAGAGAGAGAGAGAGAGAGAGAGGGAGAGAGAGAGCGTGTGTTGTCTTAGCGAGAGGAATAAAGAAGAGGTGCTGCGGCGCAAAGTACAGCGCCACCTTTATCCTCGTCCGTAAAAGTACGACGCGCGGCCATCAGGGCGCAGCGCGTCTCGCGGCGCTCGGCCCGGCCCGGGGTCGGGCTCGTTAAAGGCTGCGCGCCGACGGGCCGCCCAGCTCAGCGGGGAGTTGAACCTTTTTTCACGCCATCCATTAGATTATAAATATGACAGTGGCAAGGGCGGTAGGTCGCCGAGGTAGCTGTTGCTGCGGTGCCTGCCCCC